TGCTGAGCCCGCCAAAAGTCCCATTCTGCAAACGGTGCTGCACCGGTTGAGTAGTCCTCGACTTACAACCGGTTGAGTAGTCCTCGACTTACGACCGGTTGGGGGTCGCGGCATTAAAAAGGTTGAGAACCACTGCCCTATACCATTTCAGACAAATCGTTGTCCAATCTCTTCTTAAAAACCTCCAGTGATGGAGCACCCACAACTTCTGGAAGGAAGCCCTTCCACTAATTATTTGTTCCCACTGCCAGGAAATTTCTCATTTCGTTCTAGGTTGGACTTCTCTTTGCTAACATATGAAAGAAGCCAGATTATCAAATTGCTTTGTTTTGTCCTTCTTGAGGATGTTTTTGGGGCTTGAAGTCCATTCCTCCTTAGTTCCAGGTTGCTTCTCTCCTGGATTAGTTTCCTGTCCTGCCCTCTGGAAGCGAAGTTGACCCCCTCTTCATTGTGGCAGCCCCTCAAATACTGCTATTATGTCTCCCCTAGTCCTTCTTTTCTCCAGACTGGCCATACCCAAAGTATCTGCATTCTATTTTTTTTTTTTTCCTCCCTGTGGTTCTGCCTTCTTGCAAATTGTGATTCCCTACGAAGGAGGTCCAAAGAGCAAGCAAGAAATGGATGTTTTGTTTTGTTTTTTCTTGAAATGGACATCCCGTCGGCCAAGATTGCTGGACTAGATCCAGGCTGCAGAAGAGCAGATTAGAAATCACCAATAATGCTCTTTGTTAAATCAGGAAGTGTTGATTCCAAGTTGTGGAAAAGCAGCTCTTAAGTCTTTTTTTATTTTATTTTTTTATTTTTGTTCCTTCCTCCTAAATTAGTTTACTGGAAAAGAGCACCATGGCTGCATGCACACAACAACAATCGTGCAGGTAGTTCTCGACTTACGACCGACCGGTGGCTTAGCAAACCCTAATGGAGGTCCAGATTCCTGTTGCTAAGCCAGACAGTTGCTAAGTGAGCTTTGCCCCCATTTTACAAACTTCCTGGCCCCCGTTGTTAAGTGAATCGCGGCAGTTGTGAAGTTAGTCACAGGGTTGTTAAGTGAATCTGGCTTTTTGCTTGTGACAAGGTCTCAAAAGGGGATCGCCCGACCGTGGGACGCTACGACCGTCATAAATACGAGTCAGTTATCAAGCGTCTGAATTTTGACCACGTGCTGCAATGGTCATCTTGAAAAACGGCCATAGCTCACTTTTTTTCAGTGCCGTTGTAACTTCGGACGGTCACGAAACGAATAGTTGTAAGTGGAGGACTTACCTGTCTTACGACTTTCCTTTAACAACCTGTTTTTTGTGATCAGCCTCCTTCGTCTCCGTTCCTTCTGCAGTGCAGGTCACAATCCCTCCCCACAATCATGCGTTATGTGGAAAGATAACTATTATTGGATATTATTGAATATTATTGGTCTGTGGCCAGATCAAAGAAGCCTCAGGAGGCGATGCTATTTAAGAACGATGTCAAATCTGAAGAGCCAGTTGGGAGGCAGATATTGCTGGGTAGCTGAACGTGTGATTTATACAATGGTAGAGGTGTGCAGGAATCTGACTTCCCACGAAGATTTCCAGAGTTTATTTTATTTATTTATTTTATTTTTAAAATTTATAAGCCGCCCCACTCCCGAAAGACTCTGGGTGGCTAACAATAAAAAACACATAAAACATAACAAAACAACAGTACAAAGACAATCATCCAGGGGTCAGGTTTTATAAACCCCAGGCCTGCCGGAAAAGCCAGGTCTTAAGCAGCTTGCGGAAGACCAACAGGGTGGGAGCGGTCCTAATCTCCGGGGGGAGTTGATTCCAAAGTGTGGGCGCCATCACAGAGAAGGCCCTCCTCCGCGGCCCCGCCAAATGGCACTGCTTGGCCGTTGGGGCCTGAAGGAGGCCCAGCCTGTGGGATCGAACCGGACATAGGGAACTATGAGGTAGTAGCCGGTCTCGCAAATAGCCTGGCCCTGAGCCATATAGGGCTTTCAAGGTAATGACCAACACCTTGAATTGGACCCGGAGACCAATAGACAACCAGTGCAGCTCACGGAGTTGCTGCAGGAATATTGGTTCTGCCAGTGGGCAAACCGGCTGCATTCATACACACCTGTGCAAGTCAGAGAAAAGTCTTGCAGCTAGGCAGAAAGCTCGGCTCATTTGAATCTCGATCCGGTGTATTTTGTGGATGAATGCGCCATCCGAATCCAGCACTTATGGTCCAGTGCGTTGGGCAAATGCATAAAATGGGGCAGCTGCACAACCAGCCTATTGATGGCTGATTTGTCCAAACTTCCAGGAATTCTCTAGCATTTTTGGACTTGGCTTGGGATGCTCACGGTGGAAACCATGCCTAAGCCTATCCATGTGTGGTGAAATTAAGGAGTTTTAATCAGTACTTAAGTACCGGTACTTGGTGGTGTGCATGGATACGCTCTGCTAGTTTTCTGCCTGTTTGTCCTACATAGTGGCTCTTGCGGTCCTTGTACAGCAGCGGTTCTCAACCTGGGGGTCGGGAACCCATTTGGGGTCGAACGACCATTTCACGGGGGTCGCCAAACAACGCAGTCCGCCATTTTTTTCCCCTGTTCCTTAGCTGTGCTCCTCCCTTTTATTCTATTGGCTTTCGAAAGCCAATAGAATAGACTCTCTTGAATAGAGTCTAATTCTATTGGCTTTCAAAAGCCAATAGGAATTGTCCAGGCTGTCTCTGCCCTGCTGAGCCCGCCAAAAGTCCCAGTCTGCAAACGGTGCTGCAAGTTGTCTGCAGCGAAGGTGAGCTGTCTGGAAGTTTCCACCCGTCCCTGCTGAGCAACTACTAAAAATGTAAGGAAAAGAGGGCCAGGGTGGGAGATGGGAGGCCGGCGGGCGCAGGGAGGGTTGCTGGCGCGCGGGGGGCCCGGCGGGTGCCTTACCTCCCTTGGGTTGGGCCAGCTGGTGGCCCAGCCGGTGGTCGCCCTGCGCTGTCGCTGCCCCTTGCTAGCTACCCCTGGGCCGGCGCAGGGGGCGGCACCACGCATGTGCGGCGCTCCCGGGCAGGGAAAGTCCTCGACTTAACGACCGGTTGGGTAGTCCTCCACTTACGACCGGTTGGGTAGTCCTCCACTTACGACCGGTTGGGGTCGCGGCATTAAAAAGGTTGAGAACCACTGTTGTACAGTATGTTGTAGGTTATTCTTGATTTTTTTTCTTCTGGGGCTGCTGGGTCTTTTGGTTTACTTAAGGATGTGTAGGATGGCTTTAGCTGGTTTGTGTGCTGGGGGTATTTGCTTAACTTAGTGTGCTAAAGAATGAGGAAATTGAGGTCTAAGAGGAGTGAGGAGTTGGTGGCGCTTAAGAAGCTGACTTTGATCCTTGGAGCTAAGAATGAATGATTTTATTTGGCGAACTCATGGAGCTGCGCTAATAATTCTGTTCTGTCCCGGATGTTTGCACACTGGAGATCATCATTTGAAGGCATCACTGACCAGAAGCCCAACCCTGGTGGCCAAAATCTTCCTGTTTTAAATCAGTCTTCTCCAAGGCTGGTTCCTCCAGTTGTCATCCTAACGTTTGTGGGCATCCTGGCCAGATCCGTGAAGTTCTGGCTTACCTAGCAAGGCAAATTATACATGAGTAACAGAATAATAGAATTGGAAGGGACCTTGGAGGTCTTCTAGTTCAACACCCTGGTCAAACAGGGGGCTCTAGACCAAGGGTCTTCAAACTTGGCCCTTTTATGACTTGTGGACTTCAACTCCAGGAAATCCTTAGCCAGGTATTGAGGACCTGTAGATTGTGTGGATTAGAAAGAGAGTTGAGAAAATATCTACAGACCTCTCATATCCTGGACATGAACTGTTTCAACTCCTCCCCTCAAGACACCACTATAGGGCATTGCATGCCAAAATAACTAGACACAAAGGCAGTTTTGACCCCCATGTCATCGTTCTGCTAAGCAACTAATTCCCACAGCACTGTCTTGTGCCTAAGGACAGGGGTCTTCAAACTTGGCCCCTTTATGACTTGTGGACTTCCAACTCCCAGAATTCTTCAGCCAGGCACGCTGGCTGAGGAATTCTGGGAGTTGAAGTCCACAAGTCATAAGAGGGCCAAATTTGAAGACCCCTGCCCTAGCCTAGACCAGGGGTAGGCAACCTTGGCTCTGTTATGACTCATGGACTTCAACTCCCAGGATTCCTGAGCCAGCGTACCTGACTGAGGAATTCTGGGAGTTGAAGTCCACAAGTCATAAGAGGGCGAAGTTTGCAGACCCCTGTCCTTAGGCATAAGAAAGCGCTGTGGGAATTAGTTGTTTAGCAGAACGATGGCATGGGGGACAAAACTGCCTTTGTGTCTAGTTATTCTGGCCTGCAATGCCCTATAGTGGTGTCTTGAGGGGAGGAGTTGAAACAGTTTATGTCCAGGATACGAAAGTTCTGTGGATATTTTCCCTACCCCTGGCCTAGACCATTTCAGACTGTTAGATTTGCAAATGAAAGCTTTGCTGCAGCTATGTTACTGGCCATTTTTTATTCTGTTGCAGTCCTCGTTCTATTGCTATATCTTGCACTTTTTTGCCATAGCCAGCTATGACTGGGCCCAAAACCTGTTAGAAATTCTGTATATAGCCCTACAGAGCACAAACGATGCACCATCGACATGTGCTTTACTTCTCGCCGTTAAGCAGAAAAACACATGTGGACAGTGCACTCTGTGTCCCGTAGGGCTATATACAGAATTTCTAACACAGACAAATGGCTGTCCAATCTCTGCTTTAAAAAATCCTCCAGGGTTGGAGCACACACAAGTTCTGGAGGCAAAGACGTTCCACTGATTAATTGTTCTCGCTGTCAGGAAATTATGAGCCTCCTTTGGTGTCCCAAAATCATCTCGACTGGATCCGTCACGGATGGGGCAACCTGTCGCCTTCTGGACACGCTCAGAGCGCAACGTCCGAGGTTGGATCAGGTTTTTTTTTGTCTGTTGCCTATGAGTTTCTTGTTGAGGTTTTGCCTTCTGTTCTTCTAGGGGTGAGCGGGAAGGATGTTCTCATCCGTGAAGCCCTATGAAAATCAGCGGTACTCATCTTTGAAGAAGGACTGTCAGAGAAGGAAGATCCTGTTTGAAGATCCGCTCTTTCCAGCCAACGATGACTCGCTCTTCTACAAGACTAGGATTCAGGGGATACAATGGAAGCGACCCAAAGTAAGGCCAACGGGGGAGATGGGTTCTGAAATTGGTCGGGGTCTTCATCTCTGAGACGTTCAGTGCGCAACCGTGCTTGATGGGATCGTGTCACTGACCTCTTTGGACTTGTCTTCTCTCTCTCTCTCTCTCTCTCTCTCTCTCTCTCTCTCTCTCTCTCTCTCTCTCTCTCTCTCTTTCTCTCTCTTCCTTCAGCCTTATATCTGATTCCCTAATCAGAGGAGCTTGATCATAATCAAGAGAAGAGGATATTTGTAGCTCGGGGTTGAATTGTGGGGTCCCTGGTGCTCTCTCTGAGCTAGGTGGTTTTCTTGCAGACGTTTCATAACCCAACTAGGTAACATCATCAGTGCCAGAAGGGAATTGGGAGAAGAGGAGGAGGAGGAGGAAAGCTGTGGAGTCCTTGGTGCTCTCTGAACTTGGTGGTTTTCTTACAGACAATGCATTACCCAACTAGGTAACATCATCAGTGCTAAAAGGGAATTGGGGGAGGAGGAGGAGGAGGAGGAGGAGGAATCCTTGGTGCTCTCTGAACTTGGTGGTTTTTTGCAGACGTTTCATGACCCAACTAGGGAACATCATCAGGGCTAGAAAGGAGGAGGAGGAGGAGGAGGAGTCCTTGGTGCTCTCTGAACTTGGTGGTTTTCTTGCAGACGTTTCATGACCCAACTAGGGAACATCATCAGGGCTAGAAAGTAGGAGGAGGAGGAGGAGGAGGAGGAGGAAGAGGAAGAAGAAAGCTGTGGAGTCCTTGGTGCTCTCTGAACTTGGTGGTTTTCTTGCAGACGTTTCATGACCCAACTAGGGAACATCATCAGTGCCAGAAGGGAGTGGGGTTTAGGAGAATGAGAACAGTGGGCTCCTTTATACTCTTTGAGCTTGGATATTTTCTTGTAGACATTTCATCGCCCAGCTAGGTAACATCATCAGTGCTAGGAGTGAGGTTTGGGGTTTTTTTGGGGGGGGGGGGAAGAGGAGGACTGTGGAGTCCTGGATGTTGCAGACATTTTCTTGCAGACATTTTACCACCTAAGTAAGTAGCACCATCAGCGTAAGGGAGGGGGGATTTTGGTCCCTGTTTATATCCAGTAGTTGACCTCCTTCCAGTATAGGTGGGGATGTGTTTTTCTTTTGGATAGTTTTCTGCTTGCTTGTTTGTCCAGCGTTAATCCCTGCTTCTCCAATTTTGGCCCATTTTGCAAACTTTCCTGCCACCGTTGTTAAGCGAATCTCTGCAGGCATTAAGTTAGTAACACGGTTGTTAAGTGAGTCTTGGTTTCCCCGTTGACTTTGCTGGACAGTGGGTCACAAAACATGACCCCTCGGGATACTGCAACCGTCGTAAATACAAGTCGGTTGCCAAGTGTCTGAATTTTGGTCCCCTGACCGTGGGGAGACAGAGACAGTTGTCTGAAAAAACGGTTGTAAGCCACTTCAATGCTGTTGTACCTTTGGTCGCTAAATGAGTGGGTCGTAAGTCGAGGACTACTACCATTCCCAGATCTGGGTTATTTTTCAAGCTTCCTGCATCCCCTCCCACAACGGGTCTTGCTGTTGTGATCTCCTTGGGAATCTCCCAGCCTTTTTAATGCGTGGATTGCACAGCCTGAATGACTGCATTTTTGTTTTGTGTGTGTGTGTGCCTGTGTATGTGTGTGTGTTTTAAAAAATGATGCAATTGTCCATCTGAAAAGAGAAATGTCATCTCTCTCAGCTGCACCCTCCAGACAAAAAAAAAATCATTTCAAATTCAGAGAGAACAATGCAGCCCTTGTCTGGTTTTTGGTGGAGAATGTGAAGGCTGGGGGGGAGAAGAGAAGGTCCCACGTGAACAGACCGTAGTTTGATGTCAGTTCTAATTTAAGGCGTTCGTGCATCCTTGGTACTTTCTCCTATTTGTTTATTGTTCCTGCTGTGATCAGCGTTTTTAATGTTTTTTACGTTCTTGTTCTTAAGAGGATGTAAGCCGCCCGGAGTCGCTGGATAGCGAGATGGGTGACATATACATTTAATAAATGAATAAAAACGTCATATTTTGCCCCCCCCCCCGTCCTTCCAATCAGATGCTTTCTTGGGAATCCAGAAAACAACTGCCCTCATCCCTAAGTAGGATGACCATTGGTTGGGAAAGGGTTTTGATGATCCTTTTACAAGATGATTTGGTCCCTCCTTTGATTCCCCCAAAGGGACACAGGCAGTCCTCAACTTACAACAGTTCAGGAGAGAAGCAACCTAGAACTAAGGAGAAACTTTCTGACAGTGAGAACAATTAACCAGTGGAACGACTTGCCACTAGAAGCGGTGAATGCTCCAACACTGGAAGTTTTTAAGAAGAGACTGGACAGCCATTTGTCTGAAATGGTATAGGGTTCCTACCAGATCAGGGGGTTGGACTAGATGACCTCCAAGATCCCTTCCAACTTATTATTATTATTGTTGTTAATTGCGAAGTCGTATCCGACCCATCGCGGTCCCATGGACAACGTTCCTCCAGGTCTTCCTGTCCTCTGCCATCTTCTGGAGTCCATTTAAGTTCACACCTACTGCTTCAGTGACTCCATCCAGCCATCTCATTCTCTGTCTCCTCCTCCTCCTCCTCCTCCTCCTCCTCCTCCTCCTCCTCCTCCTCCTCCTCCTCCTTCTTCTTCTTCTTCTTCTTCTTCTTCTTCTTCTTCTGTCGTCCCATTCTTCTTCTTCTACTTCTTCTTCTTCTTTGTTAGTTGGGAAGTCGTGTCCGACCCATTGCAACCCCATGGACAATGTTCCTCCAGGCTGTCCTGTCCTCTACCATCTTCTGGAGTCCCTTTAAGCTCACGCCTCCTGCTTCAGTAACTCCATCCAGCCACCTCATTCTCTGTTGTCCCCTTCTTCTCTTGCCCTCCATCTTTCCCAGCATCAGGCTCTTCTCCAGGGAGTCCTTCCTTCTCATTAGGTGGCCAAAGGACTTGAGTCTCCACTTCAGAATCTGGCCTTCTAAAGAGCAGTCGGGGTTGATCTCTTCTAGGACTTACCGGTTTGAACGCCTTGCAGTCCAAGGGACTCGCAGGAGTCTTCTCCAGCACCGTAGTTCAAAGGCCTCACTTCTTTGGCGCTCAGCCTTTCTTATGATCCAACTTTCACAGCCATACATTGCAACTGGGAAAACCATGGTCTTGACTATACACACTTTTATTGGCAGAGTGATGTCTCTGCTTTTTAGTATGCTGTCTAGATTTGCCATAGCTTTCCTCCCCAGGAGCAAGCGTCTTCTAATTCCTTGGCTGCAGTCCCCATCTGCGGTGATCTTGGAGCCCAGGAAGATAAAATCTGTCACTACCTCTTTTTCTTCCCCATCTGTTTGCCAGGAATTGAGAGGGCCGGATGCCATGATCTTGGTTTTCTTAATGGCAATTGGGCTAATCTAACCACACCAAATCCCAGCATGTTGCATAACAATGGAAATTCTGGTCTGGGCATAAATTGAGGACTTCCTCAATGCAATGATGATGATTGCAGCATCCTAGGATCATGTGATTGCCATCTGCAACCTTCCCAGACGGCTTCTGACGAGCGAAGTCAAAGGAGGAAGCTAGATTTGCTTAATGACTGCACGTTTTGCTTAACAACTGCAGGGGTTGGCTTAACATTTTTGTTGGCAGGGTGACGTCTCCGCTTTTCAGTATGCTGTCTAGATTTGCCATAGCTTTCCTCCCCAGGAGCAAGCGTCTTTTAACTTCAGTTCATTTAGTGACCGTTCGAAGTGACAACGGCACTGAAAAAAGTGACTTATGACCGTTTTTCACACTTACGACCGTCGTGGTCCCGGGATCAGAAGTCACATGCTTGGCAACTGGCTTGTATTTATGACGGTTGCCATGTTCTGGGGTCATGTGATCCCCTTTTGTGACTTTCCGACAAGCAAAGGTAATGGGGAAGCCCGATTCACTTAACAACCGGGTTACTATCAGCTGGAGTGATTCGCTTTTACAATTGGTCTAAGAAAGGTCGTAAAATAGGGCAAAACTCTCTTAACCAATGTCACGCTTAACAACAAATCTTGAGCTCAGTTGTCGCCGTAAGCTGAGGACTACCTATAGAGGGGAAAAAAGGGGGGGGGAGTGTTCAGAAGGCAAGCTGCGGAGATTTGGGACTTAGTGTCGCTTCTCCTGGTTCACACAATCAAATTCCACAACTGCATTAGAGCTGAAGTTGTTGGCTGTGACTGTGTAGTTAATGAATGGTGATGGATTCCCACACATTCTCAACAGTTGCCCAGTTCAAGGGAAGCCGGCTTGGCAGATAAATCCATTCGGAGTGTGACTTGCCACTGTTACTCCAGAGGCAGCTCTCCAGATGTTCAACAGATGCTGCTGTGTACCAAACCTGTTTATATTTTAAATATTGAATGTCTTGAGGCCTGAGGCAAGGATTCGTCTCCCAGCATGGCTGGGTAAATGAAATTCTAGAAAATGAAAACATTTGTATGCAGAGAGAGAGAGAGAGAGAGAAAGAGAGGAAGAAGGAGGGAAGGGTGGGAGGGGAAGAATGGAAGGGAAAGGAAAGGATCGACAGGAAGAAAGGAATGAATGGGAAGGAAGGAAGGAAGGAAGGAAGGGCCGGAAGGAAGGAATGGATGGGAAGAGGGATGGAAGGAAAGAAGGAATGGGTGCATGGAGAGAAGGACGGGAAGGAAGGAAGGAATGGAGAGAAGGACTGGAAGGAAGGAAGGGATGGGAAGAGGAATGGAAGGAAAGAAGGAATGAGTTTATGGAGAGAAAGACGGGAAGGAAGGGAGGAAGGAAGGAAGGGATGGGAAGAGGGATGGAAGGAAAGAAGGAATGAGTTTATGGAGAGAAAGACGGGAAGGAAGGGAGGAAGGAAGGAATGGATGGGAAGAGGGATGGAAGGAAAGAAGGAATGGGTGCATGGAGAGAAGGACGGGAAGGGAGGAAGGGAGAAAGGGATGGGAAGAGGGATGGAAGGAAAGAAGGAATGAGTTTATGGAGAGAAGGACGGGAAGG